TGTATGGATTGTGATAAGGGTTGTATGGGCCCCTAATAAAATGATTTTTTTAAAAAAAGAAACAGACTTGCATTCATGTTTCTGGAAAGACCAGGCTTTCTCCTCCCGTGAAGAATGACGGCTCTGAAACCCAAAGGGACAGTTCTATCCTGTCTTGCCGGGTCGCCAGGAGTCAGAAGCTGTATTTTTTAGTGTTTTAAATGTCTTTATTTATTACCATAGTACTATATACTCATTGAAAACTTGGCAAAAATTTCCACAAAAGATCCTGCACACATTACATAATGAACATTTCTCTATTCACTCGTTTTGTTTACAAATTTTTTTGAGACTCAGCCATCCTGGATTTCATATACTGAAAAACATACAAAAACAAAGAAAGGAGAAAGCTAACAATAATGGAATAAAAAAAAGAGGAAAACCTTAATAGAAAAGAAAGCAGAAAATACTAAAATCTTTAAAGTGGGTCAAAGGAGAGATCAACTGTTAAACTAGCTACCTCTGCCATAATAAAGATTACTTCTGAAATTGGCACCTTCGTCACCTGAACAGAGCGTCCCTGGAGGAGACAGGAATGACCAGTTAGTGGCATTAACCCTTTCTTTCTCCAAGGAAATAAAAGTGTGTAGCTTCCTCCTTATAATGCTGAGGACGTTTCTAGAATTTTGGTTTGATTGATGAGAACGTGTAAAAGAAAATCATAACATTTGGGAATAAAATTGTTCTTTAAAATCCTCCAAAGTCTCCCTATAAACTCCAGACTCCCCAGCACAGCATTAAGGTTATGCTTGTCTCTTCTTTATCAGTCACGTGGTCTAGGAGGCACTTGGTGATGCTTGCCTGGCCCTGCTCACGGGGCTGCACTCCGAATAGCAGTGCTTCAGCAATGTGACCCTGGTCGTGGCAGCAGCAAATTGAGCCAGGGGTGTATACCTGATGCCAGCTAGTGATTGAGGGGCTGAAAGAATTATCCCACTGTTAATCAAAATACTAGAAATGCAACCATTTCAGTTCTAGTTTGTTAAAAATCCAAAATGCAATGTCCCTCTCCCTTGTAGCAAAAATCCTCTTAAAACATGAAAATAATAATCTATAACTTATCAAGGGTTCATGAGGGTGGGCGGGGAGGGAGGGAGAAGGAAGAAATGGGAAGCTGATATCAGGAACTCAAGTGAGAAGAGAATGCTTTGAAAATGTTGATGGCAATATATGTGCAAATGTGCTTGACACACCGGATGAATGTATGGATTATGATAAGAGATGTAAGAGCCCCCATAAAAGTAAAGGAAAAAAACCCTCAACCTGTGGGTCGCAACCCCTTGAACAACCCTTTCACAGGGGCCACCCGATTCATAACAGTAGCAAAATTACAGTGATGAAGTAGCAACAAATATGATTTTATGGTTGGGGGTTACCACCACATGAGGAACTGTATGAAAGGGTCACGGCATTAGGAGGTGGAGAACCACTGCTCTAAGACAAGGACGGGGCAAGCAAGGCCAGTTAGGTAAGCAATGGCGCCTGAGACCTCAAGGAGTGGTGGTCTGATAGCTCCTAGGAGAATGCAGATGCCAATGGATGGTCTGATAACCCCCTGGGGAGATGCAGATTGTTTTCCTGTGAAGCCTGCATCCTTTGTCACATCTTTGGGGTCCTCTGATCATTTCAAGTCCCAAGATTGATGAAACTATATGGACAGCAAGTAGAAGGAGGGGCTGGGAGCAGGTGCCGCCCCCCACCCCCCCCCCCGCCCCGCGTTCAGTGGACATGGGGGTTTAAAGAGAGTCCATGTAGAAAAAGAATGGTTGGAAACGGATTGTGGTAGCAATTGTACAATTCTACTTGATGTGGTTGAAATATAGAATATGTTATAGGTATCAAATCCCAACTAATTAAAAAAACAAACAAACCTGCTAATTACTTCCAGAACCTGTCACAGAGTTTAAGGTATATGAAGGGAAGTTTTGTATTTAAAAAACCTTATCAAAGTACTCTCCATTACACTTAATATATTTGTCAAATCTGCCATTCCATTTTTGGACACATTTTTCAAACTCATCTGTTTGGATGGCTGACAGCACTTCCCTCAAATTGCTATCCTTTCGTGTCCTTCTGCATTTGTGGAAACAAACAGAAGTTGCATGGACTGAGGTCAGGTAAGTAAGGTGTGTGGAGAAAGGGAGGCATGATGTTTTTTGCCAAAATGTGGCACACTGAGATGGCATTGTCAGTGGTTCATTGTCATGGTAGCAAAACCACTTCCCCGTCTGCCACAAATCAGGCCCTTTTGGTCACACATGTTATCTTTTCAGAACCTCTAAATAAAAAGCTCAATTAACAGTCTGACCTGGTAGAGTGAACTCCATATGCACTGAGTCAACATTTTTGTCCGTTCAGGAAGTTGATGAACATCCAGAATGAGGTTTGTCATCAATTGACATTTCACCTTTTTTGAAATGACAAACCACTCATACACTTGAGTTTTTTTACCTTGTAAGCTGTGTTCAACATCACAAAAGTTCCTGCGGCATTTTTCCCAAGCAGGAAAAAAATTTCACATCTGCACGCTGTCCTCTTTAATCGGCCATCACAGAAAACAAGGTTCAAGCAAAACTGCCTTTATGTGACCCGAGAGAACCTTCCAAGGCCATGCCACTGGGTGCACTTCTCAGAGCGAGTTGCTCAATGCTCACCTAGTGGGAAAAATACGTACCACGAAAGCTCCACCCAGTGGAGCTTTTTTGTTTTTTCTTTTTGGGGGGAGGTGGGGTGAGGGGGGTCCCCCTTGTATAATGTGTTTAATTCTCACCGACCATAAGGTGGCAATTGTCAAAACTAGGGATGAACACATAGGGGGTTCGTTATCCAGTTATCTTTATTTTTATAAACTTGAAAAAAATCTCCCGAAAGGTTTAAATTAATTGAGTTACACCTTGAGCCCTGTGTTGATTGGAGTAAGATACTGGGAGGCTGTAGGAACAATTTAAAGAGGAGGATAAACATGGAATGAGAGCATTAAGGAGATCATTAAAGCAGAAAGAGACAAAGTTGAGGGGTTAGGGGCCAGGCAGGCAAGACCAATCCCCACCTAGCCTGTAGCCCTCAGGTTCATGGACGGGTTTTTTGGGTTGCCGCACTGCAGCCCCAGTTGAATGAACAATGCTACCGGGCTTTTCTGTAGAAGTGAGGGCGCTGACTGGAAAGAGGTGCTTGGCAACTTTACATGTGTGGGGAACAGACGGAACTCAGACTCCCCTATGACCTTTAAAGCAGTTCCCATAATTGTCCCCGTTAATTAAGAAATATGAAGTTCTAACTCCTGTCCATGTCATCTCTGGGACCACGATTCAACCCCACCAGGAGGCAGAGGGGGTATGCAGTTAGAATCGGCAGAGGCATAATCACCCCACATGAATGTTACATGTTCTCTAAAGAATGTTGAGACAGCCTGTGGAGAATATGTGGGTGTAGACCCCACGGGTGCCTGACTAAAGAGACCAGACCTTAATAAGGACATAGACCAAACTGACTGAAAAGGGCACTCAACAGGGTAGCTATTAGGAGGAGGATTAAGATCTTTCAGGCAAATTTCTTAACTTCTAGGGAGGGTGGGGAATTTTTGCAGTAAGTGCCCATCCATGTTATTGTCGTTTCTTAATTATCACACAGACACGGCACACAGATACGAAGTTAAATTTATTGCAGGTGCTTTCCTTGTGGATGTTTGACTCCTGAGCGCCTTACTCAGCACGATCCTTGTTTCTTTGGCATCTTTTAGGTCGTCTCTCAGGCTGGGTGCTCCTTGGCTGCAAGGACCTTTTGAAAGTGACAGAAGAGTTGAGTGTGCTATAGGGACGGGGGCTTACAGGAACAAGCAGACCCCTCAGCTAAACTGAGCCGGGCCACCCCTGGAGCTCTATCTTCCGTCGAGAGCAGAGGGCCTCATTTCACGGGCAGGGCCTCCACCTCACCCTTCTGCCTCAGCCTCCCCTCGTTCAGAAGCATGCGGACTCAAGGGCAGAGCCAGCCTTGGCCCAGGTAAGGGCGATCACTGGTGTGTGCTATGGCTTGAAGTCTCGCTATGCTCCTGCTTTCAGATGCCTGTGTGCTTGGAGTCCCCTGGGTGGTGCAAATGGTTAACATGGTTGGCTGCTAATCAAAAGGTTGGAGGTTCTACTACATCTGGAAGCACCTTGGGAGCAAGGCCTGAATTGCTTCTGAAAGGCCCGCCCGTGTCACCCTATGAGAGTTCTCTGACACACAGGCGTTGCTGTGATTTACAACTGACTCCACAGCATCTGGTTTCTGCTTATAATTCACCCCCAGAGGATTGTGATTTAGAAAATACTAGCTTCCTCCCTTCCTTTCTCTCTTGAACCCCCAAGCTCTATCTTCTGCCTTCACTGTCTGCAGAAGCCCTTCTTATATCACTGAGAAGACAGAAGTAAACAGAAGTGAGCAATCTTCCTCTCACAAAATTCAGCGCCCTGGCTTCATCGATACCAGGTAATCTGCCCTCTCTCCTCTTATACTGCTCTGCTCTGAAGCCAACTCTTCCATCAGAGTCCTCCATCCTATCCCCTTGCCCACTGAAGGGCTCTGCTCTTGCAGTTACACGCCGCCCTGTCTCTGGCGTCATCAATTTAATCCTCTCTAGTGGAGCACCTCCACTGGCAAACATACGTCTTATAAAAACTTGCCTTGTCCCCATCTTCTCCAGTTACATCCCATCTCTCCACTCCGTTTGCAGCAAAATTCTTCAAACTAGTTGCTGATTCCATTTCCAATTCAAACCCAAACTCTCCTGAACACACGCTAATCAAGTTTCATTCCAACATCTCCCTACTAATCTCTCTAATGAAAATCACCAATTATTTCGGAATCCAAGGGCCCAGTCCAAGTCTTTGTCTTACTTGACCTCTCAACAGCACATGACATAGTTGATCATGCCCCTTTCTTTCCTGAGAAAAACAAAAGCCAGTTTCTATTGCCAATTCTGATCCTGGTGGTCCCAGGGATGTCAAAGGAGGACTGTGCTGTGTAAGGTTTTCCATGGCTGATTTTTCAACCATTTCTATTCACCGTTCTCCACTCTACTCTAGTTGGCACAACTGGGATCTTAAAAGCTTGCAAGCAGCTGCCTAAGATGCCACTATTGTTCTCTCCCTACCCACAAGAAAAGTGAAGGAAAAGAAAACTCAAGGAATCAATTAGTGCAAAGCTTGTAACAGGCCACATAAACCTCCGCCTCCACTACCCTGTACCAAAATAACTCAGTGTGCCACTACTGACCACTCTGATTGGGATTGCAGTAGGATGTTCTGGACAGTGGGAGGAAAACACGGTACAATATTCAAAATAATTGGAGAGAGACCTGTGGGTCTGCTGGAGACTGGGCCAGCCCTTGAGATGAGGGCCCCGTTAGCACCCTCTCACCTGGGAGGGCGCTGTCTCAGGAGGACCGCTGTCCAGCCAGCGACAGGCGACCCATCACTTGAACACCAACATGCAGGAGGGATGCACTTCTCAGAACAATCTATAAAGGAGCAGCATCTGCCCCCCCACCCCCCGAAAAAAAAAGGATGAGTTCTGGAGGCAGGAAATGTTGGATGGAAAGCAGAGCCCAGGGAGGAAGTAAGTGGAAGAGTGTGCTGTTGTCATGAGACAAAATTGTACGAGAAAACTTCAAAAAGTTTGTGGGGAAGTGGAACTTTGTGAAGCCCATAGAAATTATTGAATGTAAAACTAATATGTTCTGTGAACTTTCACCCAAAACACAAATATTTTTAAAATTTACTTTGTTATGTAAGAATATATACAACAAAACATGTGCCGATTCAGCAGCTTCCACATGTGCAATGTGGTGACGATGCTTACAGACCTGAATTGCACAACCAAACCCACCCTTCCTTTTACACGTGTTCCTATCCGTGAACATCAGCTGCCACCTATTCTTTTAAATTGCTGTTGCCAATTCCATCCCATAGAAGAGTTATCCGACAGATAGTTCTTAAAGACACAGCACCTCTTTAAGAAACACTTCTTCATGGAGAAATGCCACACTCCCCTAGTTTTCTTCAAAATTCACCAGCCATTCGCTCCTTCCACTTGACTGGCTCTGCCTCCTTGTCTCATTCAGCCTCTAAACACTGGAGTTGCCCGGGATAGCCCTCAGGTCTCCTATACTCACTCCTTGGTGATCCATCCAGGCTCATTCATGGCTCCAAACAAAATCTGTGTGTATCTCCACCCCCACGTGCTCCCTGAATTCCACACTGGCACATCCATCTGCCAGTCAAGTATGAACCAAGAAACAGAACAAGATATGAACACGAGTCTAATTTTCATTTCACTAGCAGCTTAAGGTGATAGAGACTGTGTTCCAAAGTGAGGCGTAAGACCACAATTTATGGTCTTAAGTGAAGAGTGAAGTGTTGATTCTTGTGCCAAGTAGAGCATATTAATTACTGAACCGAGATCCTATCTATAACCAGGAGATTTTGATTAGCTGACAATGTCCACAGTAGTGGAAGAATTACACCCACACAACAGGTTTAAACGAACAGTAGGCGGCGGTGAGTTGTTTTACAATCTATACTACAAATCCTCCTTTGTACGGGGTCATGGTTGTAGGTATCTTGAGATGAACCACTCCAAACAGGATGACTATTGACGTTTGTCCTTCAGCCCCATCTGCTGCCACACTGCTTTCCTCGCAAACTTCCCTGGCACCAAGAAATGGGACCGTACTGTACCCGGTCCTCGGGACAGCAATCAAGGACCCCTCTTTGATGCCCTGTTTCTACTTACTTCACATGTCTAGTTCACAACAAGCTGGGTCAACGTGCTCCCATCTCAGCACCTCACCACCACTAAGACCAGCCACGGTGATCCCGCCTGGCCTTGCTAGAGCACCAGCTTCCTAAGTTACTCCCTACTCCCACACCTGCCCCTGTATAATCCGTTCTCCATGTGGCAGCCATAAACCAAACCAAACTCATGCCACGGAGTCCATGCTGGCTCCTAGCGACCCCCTGTGGGTTTCCTAGACTGTAACTGTTTATAGGAGTAGAAACCCAGTCTTTCTCCCCCACCCACCCCGTGCGACTGGTGGTTTCAAACTGCCCACCAAGAGGATCACTCTCCAACGTGTAAACACTATACCCCATGGCTCCTCGATGTAGCAGCCACAGTCTTTTCTAAAATGTTCAATGTTAAAGGCGTCATATTTTTCCCAATGTTAATGAGCCCTGGTGGCTGTGATCTGCAAGGCCGTGGTTTGAAACCACCAGAAGCTCTGCTGGAGAAAGACCCGGGCTTTCTACTCCTGTAAAAGTGACAGTCTCGGAAACCCAAAGGGGCAGTTCCCTGTCTGGGAGGGTCGCTGTGAGTCAGCATCTACCTGGGGCAGCAAGTATGACGGCATATGTCTGCCCTACCCTGGATGGCTTTCCCTCCCACACTGGGGTTGATTCTCACGCCTTCCCGTGGCCTCAGGCGCTGCCTCTTCCCCCGCTTCCCTCTCTGCGCTCCCGTGTGACCCATTCTTGCTGTTTTCTGAACATGCCAACCCCACTCCCATCTCAAGCTTTGGGTTGTGGTTATCTGCCTGGAATGTTCTTCCCCCAATTTCTCCATAACACACTGCTCATTCTTTCACACAATTCTCTTCAGAGAAGCCTTCCTGAACTTCTCTAATTAAAACAGTCCCCTTTCATCAAGTCCTACATCTTCCTTACACCCTTTTACCTGTTTTATTTCCCTCGGTGCACTTATCACTAATTCACATGATACTCCTTATTTGTTTGGTTGAGTCCATGAGATCAGGGAGGCACCTGTGTGGTGTCTAGCCCCTCAAACACTGCTGATTCAGAGCAGGTGCTTTAAAACGGTTACGGAGGAAAGAAAAAAAGCACGTGGGGTGACACTAAAACATGCCAGTAAACGGAACTGATGCACACATGCACACCACACAAGAATGGGGACACAAAATAAAGTCTTAAGAAACTCTCCACACGTAAGGGAAGCCTCCTGAGTGGCGCATACAAGGGGCAAAGTTACAGAAACTTCTTAACACAACCAAACACCTTAAGGGATGGATGGCTGGGCCAGGGGATCAGGGCTGTGGTCTCGGAGGGCACCAAAGTCAGTTAGCATAACATAGGCCACAAAATCAGTGTTCAGTGAACACTTTCTGGGGCCTTCAAAGCTCACGATTGGCCATCTCAGGAGAAGCTACTGGTCTCCCATGCAGAAGAAAGAAGAGGGGGAAACCTGAAGCAGCATGGAGACAATATGCACAGTGGACCATCAGCCCCCATGACCCTGGCACCAAAAAATGTTGCCTGGCTGCCACTAGCACCCAGGCTGGAAAGGATCACAATAGAAGGTCATGGGGAGAGTGGGGAGGGGAGGGGGGCGGTGGTGGAACAGAACTCAAAACCATAATACCAAGACTGGTGGACCCAGTCAGATCAGGACCCGGGGACTCGGGCCAGACAGAGACTGGTGGACCCACTCAGATCAGGACCCAGGGGACTCGGGCCAGATAGAGACTGGTGGACCCAGTCAGATCAGGACC